AGAAACGTCATGCGCCTTCGGAAGACTCTCAACAAACTTCAGAGCAGAGCAGCAAGCAATTATCATTTCAGCCAAAGTGCTTGAGGAAACAAAAATTTTAAACAGCAAAATTGTTTTCCTTTGTGACTGCATATCAGTCCTCCAGGCGACTCAGAGGGATCCACAAGAAAACATGGAGAGAGACTACCAGACTACCAAACCAGACATGGAGAGAGAACTGACCCGCCAGATAGACAGACTCACAGAAAACAATCAAATCGTTCTCCGGTGGCTCCAGCTCACTGCGGCATACCAGGAAATGAGATAGCGGACGGACTTGCAAAAAATTGAAACAAAGGAGAAAAACGCACCCATCCATTGTCATTACCAGAAATGAGAACACTTATCAAGGCAAAATACACGAGATTGTGGAAAGAACAAACTAACAGTAAACATCCACAAAACCCCATCAGCAGACTCAACAGAAAGCAACATACAACAATTTTCCGTCTACGTACAGGACACTGCAGGCTCAATTAACACATACATAAAATAAAGATTGTGCAGTCCCCACAGTGTGCCTGTCAGACAGGACCACTAACACATGAGCACATTCTGCAGACCTGCCCTCTCTACAAGCAACTTTGAAAAGACACCTGACCTCAAGAGTAAAGTGTGCTGAGCAAGCTATGGGGGAACCATAAAGGACCAGCTACTGACATGCGAGTTCATAAAGTCAACCAACCTGATGGTCTCATAAGAGCATACGAAACCAAACGCAAAAAAAGAAGAAGAAGAGGAAGAAAAAGAAAAAGAAGAAATGGTTCGGTCATGTGTAACTGTACCACGGTATAGTCCACCACACAGAGCTCTGTCAGATACAGTGGAAGCCGGGCTAGAGGTAGCGAACGTAAGCAGCACCAGCAGCAGCAGCATCAGCAGCACTAGTAGTGGTAGTGGTAGTGGTAGTGGTAGTCGTAGCCGCAGCAGCAGCAGCAGCAGCAACAGCAGCAGCAGTAGTAGTAGTAGTAGTAGTAGTAGTAGTAGTAATACTATTATGTAAATTAATAGCAGTAGTAGCAGTAGTAGTAAAAATAGTATGAGTAGTAGGATAAGGAGGAGGAGGAGCAGCAGCAGCAGTAGTAGCAGCAGCAGTAGCAGTAGCAGCATCAGTAATAGTAGTAGCAGTAGTAGTAGTAGTTGCAGCAGCAGCTGTAGTAGTAATAGTAGTAGTAGCAGCAGCAGTAGTAGCAGAAGCACAGCAACAGCAGCAGCTGTAGTAGTAGTAGTAGCAGTAGTAGTAGTAGTAGAAGTAGTAGTAGTAGCAGTAGTAGTAGTAGTAGCAGCAGTAGCATTAGCAGCAGCAGTAGTAGTAGTATAATTATCAGTAGTAGTAGCAGCAGTAGTAGTAGCAGCAGCAGTAGTAGTAGTAGTAGTAGCAGCAGCAGCAGCAGTAGTTATAGAGACCCGTAAGACAAGGTCAGGCAAGCTACGATTCATAGAGCCAAACGAGCATTGTTTTACCCCAAAAAATTTGTTTTCAAACAATTCAATAGCTCTTTTTTGAGACTACAATACTGTTACTTTTTAAAATCCTTTCATTAAAAAATTCCAGAAAGCAATAGCAAACTACTGGACGTAAATTTGCCTAGAAAAACCACACAACAGCCAGGTGCTGTTGGGGTTGGTTCTGCAACGTCCTGTAAAGGATACGCAACAAACGTTAAAAAAATACCGACATTTTATCTTGTGTTTACACCTAACGATTTTGTAACGCAGGCAGGCAGGCAGGCAGGCAGGCAGGCAGGCAGGCAGGCAGGCAGACAGACAGACAGACAGACAGACAGACAGACAGACAGACAGACAGACAGACAGACAGACAGACAGACAGACAGACAGACAGACAGGCAGGCAGGCAAGCAGACAGACAGACAGACAGACAGACAGACAGACAGACAGACAGACATTCTAAGCAAGTTTTTGACATTCCTTATGTTTGCTGATTCGGATAAATATATTGAGGTTTACGCTTTTTTGCTTCCGAAAGTAGGATATATGTTTTTACATTATCTCCAGGAGCGGTTTTCGAAGAAGTGGGCGCATCTCTGATTCTTTCTGCGGTTTTGGGAAATGTGAAGAGGCGGCCAGATTTGTTGTAGAATGAATGTACAAAGTGTTGGTTTATAATATGAAACAAACTCGTCTTTACTCTCACCGTGGTCATCATCTTCTTCGTTTTCGTCGCCGTCTTTGATGTGTGTCTTCTTACTGCTCCTTCTCCTCCTACTTTTTCTTCTTCTCGTTTTGCTCCTCCTCCTTCTTCTCCTCCTTCTCCTCTTCCTCCTCCTGCTTCTTCTTCTTCTTCTTCTTCTTCTTCTTCTTCTTCTTCTTCTTCTTCTTCTTCTTCTTCTTCTTCTTCTTCTTCTTCTTCTTCTTCTTCTTCTTCTTCTTCTTTTTTCTTTTTTTCTTTTTCTTTTCCTTTTTTCTTTTTCTTCTTCTTTTTCTTTTTATTCTTCTTCTTTTTCTTCCTATACTTTCTTCGTCTTCTTCCTCCTCCTCTTTTTCTTCTTCTTCTTCTTCTTTTTCTTCTTCTTGTTCTTCTTCTTGTTCTTCTTCTTGTTCTTTTTCTTTTACTGTCTGTTTGTCTGTCTGTATGTCTGTCTGTGTCTGTCTGCCCAAACAGGCACCATACAAAGGAGGTGTCTTTATTGGCCATGTCTATCACACAGCCTGAAATCCACTACTATGGAATACAAACACAATTAATCTCATCTCAGTATATATATATATATATATATATATATATATATATATATATATGTGTGTGTGTGTGTGTGTGTGTGCGTGTGTGTTTTGGCACCTTTCCATCTTTCTAGACGACAGTAATATATTGCGCTATGAGGAGGCATGAAACTCACAACCCATGGCGATGGCGAGTGTGACTGGCAAGACCCGCCCGCGTTAAGAAAAGCCTTCCACCTAATTTGTTTCGGAGACCTAATACGGCCAGGGATGAAGTTCATCCTCTTCATAGCACAAAGCCTTGGCAGTATTGTATATACTATATGTTGCCCATGCATCATGATCCCTTTCTCAGCATGCCTTGTTTACTCGAAAGGAAAGGTAACACCAGTACGTTTGGAACAAAGCAGGCTACAAAAGCTGCAGATCAGTAGAGCAGTGCTCTATCTGTCCGCCTGTCAGAGCTTCCCTCCTAGACCAGCTGCCAGCCAAGGCTATGGGTCTAGTCTGCCCTGCCGTAACATAAAGTTTTCAGGTTGCATTTCCTCTGCCTAAGATAAGGCTAGTATCCTCCCCAATGCGCTCCTCCGTCCGAAGCCGTTGGCACGATATGGGATGTTAGGTTTGGTATACGCCGCCCAACATTCTTAGTGACAGAAAACAGGTGGTACCGGCTACTGTTACACGGTGATATCAGACCAAGACGTGACCACACGCACGCACGTTCTCACACACGCACACACACTATATATATATATATAGTTTCTTACGTGTTCCCACTCTCTTTATTTATGTGGACTAATTGATACATGCTGCGGGAGATTGCAGAATTTGAAGAAGTATGACAACCAACCACTAAGACACTTCATGGTAACGAATATGTACTCAGTAAGACACTTCATGGTAACGAATATGTACTCAGTAAGACAGCTAATGGTAATGAATATGTACTCAGTAAGACACATAATGGTAATGAATATGTACTCAGTAAGACACATAATGGTAATAAATATGTACTCAGTGAGACACCTAATGGTAATAAATATGTACTCAGTAAGACACCTAATGGTTATAAATATGTACTCAGTAAGACACCTAGTGGTAACAAATATATACCCAGTGAGACACCTAATGGTAATAAATATGTACTCAGTAAGACACCTAATGGTAATAAATATGTTCTAAGTAAGACACATAAAGGTAATGAATATGTACCCAGTGAGACACCTAATAGTAACGAATATGTACTCAGTAAGACACCTAATGGTGATGAATATGTACTCAGTAAGACACTTAATGGTAATGAATACGTACTCAGTAAGACACATAATGGTAATGAATATGTACTCAGTAAGACACCTAATGGTAACGAATATGTACACAGTAAGACACCTAATAGTAATGAATGTGTACTCGGTAAGACACTTAATGGTAATGAATATGTACTCAGTAAGACACCTAATGGTAATGAATATGTACTCAGTAAGACACCTAATGGTAATAAAAATGTACTCAGTAAGACACCTAATGGTAATGAATATGTACTCAGTAAGACACCTCATGGTAATGAATATGTACTCAGTAAGACACCTAATGGTAATAAATATGTACTCAGTAAGACACGCTAATGGTAATGAATATGTACTCAGTAAGACACCTAATGGTAATGAATATGTACTCAGTAAGACACCTAATGGTAATGAATATGTACTCAGTAAGACACCTAATGGTAATGAATATGTACTCAGTAAGACACGTAATGATAATGAATATGTACTCAGTAAGACACCTAATGGTGATGAATATGTACTCAGTAAGACAACCTAATGGTGATGAATATGTACTGAGTAAGGCGCCTAATGGTAATGAATATGTACTCGGTAAGACATCTAATGGTAATGAATAGGTAATCAGAAAGACACTTAATGGTAATGAATATGTACTCAGTAAGACACCTAATGGTGATGAATATGTACTCAGTAAGACAACCTAATGGTGATGAATATGTACTCAGTAAGACACCTAATGGTAATGAATATGTACTCAGTAAGACACATAATGGGAATGAATATGTACTCAGTAAGACAGCTAATGGTAACGAATATGTACTCAGTAAGACACCTAATGGTAATGAATATGTACTCAGTAAGACAACCTAATGGTGATGAATATGTACTCAGTAAGACACCTAATGGTAATGAATATGTACTCAGTAAGACACCTCATGGTAACGAATATGTACTCAGTAAGACACCTAATGGTATTGAATGTGTACTTACCAGATTCAGAAATCATCAATTCCACAAAATCAGACGCTAGTCTGTGATCCCCAAAGACGTCTATAACTCCAGGGTCCATATTCTCTATAACAGAATACACCAGATCTTCATTCGACGGACACAGAGCCTCAATGACCCCTTTACTGCCATCACTACCAGTTGGAAGCCAAATGGTTTCATTGCTAGAAGCGTTGTAGGCACTCTTTAGTTTCACCTCTGTAAGTGTTAGAAACGTGTAGTATGAAAGCTGGCTTGTGGATTCGTTAGGGCATTTCAGGCTCACTTCAAAGCGGGTGGCATCTGTGGATTAGGTATGGTCGGTGTTTTTGAAATATCTGGCTAAGATGGATGGTTGAATGCATTTATAGATACGTGGATGTTGTGGATAAATGAAAAACGTATAAGGTAGATAAATAGATCAACTGATGCGTAAATATATGAATATACAAAGGGAAGTCAACAGAAAGCCACAAATGGTTATGAGATGGCGGGAAAAAGTAGTTGGTGGTTTCTAAAGGTCTCATTGGGTGACAGCAACATCGAACTTTATGTCTTTTTTCGTTAGGTGGCGTTAGGTGTTGCATGCGCCTTCGCAAAACAGTAACAAAATGGTGACTGTACTTACGGAGTGTACCCTTAAAGATTAACGTGCTGATGGGGGAGGGGGGGGGGGGGTCAAAGAGCTGCCTGCAAAGGACACTTATAAGGAAATTCTTCCTGTTTATGCTGACAAATGTTTATCCCCTTAAGCGGTGCACAGCTGTGTTTTAAAAAAAAAATTAGATGACGCTCTAAAATTTTTGAAGTTTAATCTGGTTCTTCTGTTGAGATCGCAACAGCGGGTACAGCGGGTGTAAGGAGATGATTAGAGGTGACAGGCGAGTAACGGTTGACTCTGTAGCAGCTGCAACAGGGTGCTCACATGATTCAGCATACAACATAATGCACTGAAAAGCCACTTTGACAGGAGACATTTTGTAAATGACGTAGAAGTTGAATGTGAAGAGAAAATATGGTTTAGAAAACAAAGCCCGCAGTTCTATGCAGCCAGTTTGTGAGGACTGATAAAACATTGGGACAAGTGCATTAGTGTTGGTGGAAATTACGATGAAAAATAAAAGGTCAGTGTATGTGTAAAAAAAAAAAAAACATGTGTGACTTATTTATTTACGTCCCCTCGTACATGGACATGACTAGACACGGAAGGTAAACAGGATGACAGAACATGAGTACGTTGGATGACAGACCGGCAGACGGACAGACAAAATGAGGAATAGTCTGACAAAGATGCAAAGTAAGGGACTGAAGGGACAGACAAACATAAAACAATTAGACAGACACAGAGGCAAAGCAACAGAGGAATAGTATGACAAAGATGGAAAGTAAGTGACAGACGTAAGTTGGGTAGGAAAATATGTCTGTTCACCAGGTTTGGTCGTACATTAGAGACAAGAAACAAAGGTGATAGCAGGAACGAGACGATTTATCTTATCAACTTATTAACATCAAAGCCCGCTAGTGGATAAGGTGGGCATGCACGCATAGATAAGCTTCTCGGTAGGATTCGTTTTTCTAAGTCCTTCATTCTCCTGGGCTTTCTCGCTGACACTCTTATCTGTGGAACTGGCAGATTAACTATGAGAGTATCACATTCTGCATTCACCAGCCGATTTCCGATTAGTCTATAATTAACAGATCTCTACATGTTTATTTGTCGTCTGTCGCTGGCTTAGGCGTTGTGAACGCGCTTTGTAATGTCGGGGTGCCGGGTTGATTCCCTGCTGCGGACGGTTTGTCATGCAATGGCAAACTACTGGACGTAAATTTGCCTAGAAAAACCACAACTGCCAGAAAGTGCTAGAGCTGGTTCTGCAACGTCCTGTAAAGAATACGCAACACCCTCAATCAATATGTTAATTTAAGCTTGGTAGTTATACCCCACCAGGACAACACACAAGCGATACCCGGTGACTCAAAGTGCCACCATGCGGATCATTCTAGGCTTATGACTAATGTTTAGTTACTACTAATGATATTCACTGTTGTGAATAAAATGATGTTAGGAAGGAGTGAGGCTAAAGGGTACAATGTGAGACCAGCCCGCGTGTCGAATTCCTAACTATAACAACAATTATTTCGCTAATTCATTTAAAAATTGCTTTGGCTTCCAGGTCCACCAAGTCTTGAGTGAGTACCAGATGCAGTCATGGGAAGTAAAGGCGGTCGGTGAGATGAAGACCGCATCACTCACCAAGTGCCGATTGGTCCATAAACACATAGATCTAGTCCTATATGCTCTATATGCCTAAATGCATGGAAAAGAGTCTGTTATTAATTTTTTTTTTTCATTCCTTCGTTCATCAATCTGCTTGACAATTATCACATTCAGATCCATCCTCCTGAAGTACTTCGCACGATTCCGCTATCACGTATCCTTCTGTTTCATGTATTATGACGGTTCAGACATGATGTTCCTGCAGCTCTTCAGCCATCGATTTCTCCTGCGCACAATCGCCTGGACCAGCCACGGGTCACACATCTACATCAGCAGTGTTTGAACTGTCGCATCGCTACACGAGGGCAGGTCCCGGGGTTTCTTCTTTTCTCTTCTTTGCGTTCGGTTTTCTACGCTCATGTTATGACCATCAAATGGGTTGCTTCTATGAACTCGCATCTCAGCTGCAGGTCCTTCATGGTTCCCTATAGCTTGCTCTGCACACTTTGCTCTTGACGCCAGGTGTCTTTTCGAAGTTGTAGGTAGAGTGGGCAGGTCCGCAGAATGTGCTCAGGTGTTTGTGGTCCTATCTAACAGGCACACTGTGGATACTGTACAGTCTTTAATTTAAGCATGTGGTAGCTGAACCGGCACTGTCCTGTTCGTACACGGGAAACTGAAGTGTTGCAGTCTGTTGGGTCTACTGATGGGGTCTTGTGAATATTTACTGTTGGTTTATTCTCTCATCTATTCCCTGTATTTTCACTTGATAAGTGTTTTGATTTCTGGGATTTTAACCAGACTTCCTACAGTAGTATTAGGGAGCCTCTGTGGTGAAGCGGCTAGATGCCCACTGCGGATTCGAAGGTCCTGGGTCAAATCCAGACAGTGCTGGACATTTTTCAAAACGTGGCATAGGCTGCCAGGTCGACAAACAGATAAAGAGAAAGAGAGAGCAAAAGAGAGAAAAATGGAGAGTGCGCAAGAGAGAGGAGAGAGAAACAAAGAGATAGGGATAAAACAAGAGATAGAGCAAGAAAGAGACAAAGACAGAGAGGGAGAGCAAGAAAGAGAGAGAGACAGAGAAAGCAAGAGGGGGACAAAGAGACAAAGAAAGAGATAGACAAAGAGAGAGAGAGAGAGAGAGAGAGAGAGAGAGAGACAAAGAGAGACAAAGAGACAAAGAGAGAGAGACAAAGAGAGAGACAGAGAGAGAGAAAAACACAAGAATTTCAGATTCCCAAAGTTTTATTGCAAGGGGACTTTCCCGCCAACCAATACTTCTCCTTCTCCATTAGTCTAAGCGTCATTCTTGCAGGCACTCGACCCTTCTCTGGTAAAGTGAGGTTACAACTTTCATTCACTACATATTATTGATTTAGTAGTTATGTATTATAAAGGCCCGGCTCTCTAGCGTAGTTGGCTAAACCGGATTGCGCGGTGACCGGGTGACGAACTCCTTGTGGTCCGGGTTCACTCCCGGGGGTAGGCAGAAAAGCCACATTTCTCCCAGATTTACGGTATTTATCATGAAATCAAGGCCGAAAGGTTGCGATATCCATAATACCGAGCCTAAGGGTTAACAACTCATGGCTTCTGGATACTAAAGCAAACAAACATGTATTATAAAGAGCAACTTGGTGTGAGTTGATTGATTGCCTATGCTACACCGGGGTTAGAAAGGCAAAACAAGTTGTATACTTTAACATTATGCAGTGTTTATATTATTTTATACAACCCTAAAATGTATAATATGCCAATAAGAATTGGATTTTTCTTTCCCGTGAACGGGCTAACAAGTCTTCCTATATTTCTCATAGGAAAAATATATTTGATATATGTATTGTTTGGTATACGACTTGTGTGGTACACGTCCAATGATCTGGAACGTATCACGGCTGCATAGTGAGGTACCTCTCTACTTCATACAGAAACGTGATAGCAAAGTTACTGGCAGACTGGCAGGTCTGTCAGTTTGTTTCAGCGGTCACAGGTCTGTGTCTCCATGTCACTTTTTTAGCTACCCTGAAATTTCATACACCCAAATTAAAATAGGGTACTTGAAGCCGTCGGTATAATCTGCACATAAATTAAAATGAAATAGAGATTATAACAGAGAGATACACTCACGCAGGCAAGCAGACAGACAAGCAGGCAGGCATGCAGATGAGCGGACAAGCCGGTAATTAGAACACCGAAAGATGGATGGATAGATGTTATCACAAGCGATGTCACTCAACAGTGGAAATGTCCATGGGTTTCAGGTCTCTGATTCAGCAGACACTTCAATGTACCACTACTGACAGTATCTACGAGATGTTGGTTACAATAGACCAGAGGTTCTCAATCTTCCTAATGCAGCAACCCTTTAGTACAGTTCCTCGTGTTGTGGCAAGCCTTTAGTACAGTTCCTCGTGTTGTGGCAAGCCTTTAGTACAGTTCCTCGTGTTGTGGCAACCCTTTAGTACAGATTCTCATGTTGTGGCAACCCTTTAATACAGTTCCTCGTGTTGTGGCAACCCTTTAGTACAGTTCCTCGTGTTGTGGCAACCCTTTAGTACAGTTCCTCATGTTGTGGAAACCCTTTAGTACAGTTCCTCGTGTGGTGGCAACCCTTTAGTACAGTTCATCGTGTTGTGACAACCCTTAAGTATAGTTCCTCTTGTTGTGGCGACCCTTTAAGACAATTCCTCGTGTTGTGGCAACCCTTTAGTACAGTTCCTCATGTTGTGGCAACCCTTTAGTATAGTTTCTCATGTTGTGGCGACCTTCCAACTACACAATTATTTTTGTTGCTTCTCCATAATTTCAATGAATATTTGTTTTGTGATAGTCTTTGGCGACCCATGTGAAAGGGTCGTTCGATCAAAAAAAAAGGGATCGTGACCCACAGGTTAAGAACCGCTGCAAAAGACGGATGGGTGGGTGGAGGCACAGATGGATGGGGACGAACAGCCAGGCAGGCTGACACACAGTCGGGACAAGCAGACGTTCAGGCAGACAGAAAGACAGACAGATAGGCGTACCTGGTGAGTCCCGCCCGCCTAGAACTGCTACTATCTCTCTGTACCTGTCCCACTTCATC